ATGCGGTTTATTTGAAATTAAAAATCATATCAATTGTATCTGGAAGTATTACAAATTCGTTTCTAAGTTATTTGTTTATAAGTCTTGTGCTATTTTTAATTCTTGATTTCAACCTAGGCTAGATAAAAATCTTTATTTTGTTTTAACTAACCACCTAGTAATTTTAATAATACTGTGATTTGTACTTTTGAAAAGATTCTAATATTTGATAATATTTACATAGATATGTAGCGTTCTAATTATGTTTTAAGATAAACATACTTAGAATATGGCTGTACTCTTTTTGGTATTTAAAAACATTTTCAACTATTTAACATCGACAAATTTATAGAATATCGTGGATATAAATTAAAAACAAATTCTTATTTCCTAGGTATACGTTACCTGATCTTGGGCAAGCTTTTTTAAAAATTACTGTGTTACTTTAAAAAATAGCTGTTATTTCGATTCTCAATAGCGGAAAATGTTTTTATATATCAGTGTATAAAAGAAAAAATAGAATAAGTAAAAAGTGTTTGATTAAGAGATCTTATTGGTAAAATAGGTGTTTAATAGGTAGAAACAAAATCAGATCATGCTGTATAAGAACAACTTTGTAACAACGTCTTTAAAGACAAAAAATCTAATTTAAGCTTTAAAAAATAAAATTGAGAGAGATTGTAATAATTTAATGAAATTTATAGATTTATTTATTTCTCGTAATTATTAGTGTCGCTGCCTTTTACTGAACAGATTTTAATGGATAAATAAAATTGGCCCTTTGGTATATAAACAGTCAATATTTTGTATTGCCTATACCGGGTGCGTCTCAAAAGTGCTTCACCCCTATAACTTTTTTATTTTTTCAGACAAAACAACAATATTTGGTATGTTAGTAAATGACATAACTTGGGATTGATTGACGTATATTTAATTCTTTTCGGTCACTTCTACAACTTGATTTTTAAATGGCACCTTCGGTATTTTTTTACTTTATTCTATAGAAAATGACACTCTGAATCGAATGACATAACATATGTCAACTTTTGACATTTCGGTATATGGTTTATTTGAAATTATAACATGCGGTTCATAACAACAATTTAATTCAAAATAGCAAGTGTGCGGTATCAAATAATTCGTAAAAAAATGCTTTTTCTAAATATGCTAATAAGCCATTCTAATAAGTCGTTCCATTTGAAAAAATTGAGATACGATTAAAAATACGATTTGGGCATCTTTTAACCGGCCAGGACAAGACACTAAAACCATTAGACGATCAAATCTATTTTTCCAAGGCTCCTTGATTAAAAATTAGTGTTTTTAACACAGCCATGGCACTCTAGATTGAAATTTAAAATAGATTTTTTTTGAGTGACTATATCAAAAATTGACATATGATATGTCATTCGATTCAGAGTGTCATTTTCTATCGAATAAAGTAAAAAATACCGAGGGTGCCATTTAAAAATCAAAAGTTGTAGTCATTTCCGGTGAAACCGGAAGTGACCGAAAACAATTGAATACGTTAATCAATCCCAATTTATGTCATATACTAACATACCAAATCTCGTTGTTTTATCTATGAAAAAAAAAAGTTATAGGGGTGAGCCACTTTCGAGACGCACCCGGTATATCCTTGCAACGAGTTATAGTAGCAAAGTTTTGAGATTTTGCCTTGCTAAAAGTCTAAACCACTAAACTAAACAATATATTACAATTATAAATTGTAATATACACTTTATTATAAACTTGACGTTGCCGTTGATACATTTTGAGTTATATTCCTAAAAGTCTGAACCTTTTTTTATATTCATAAATGTGTACATTTTAAATTTTGTTCGGAAATCAACATCAGCAATAGGTACAGCAATGCTGTCATTGCTGATTTTTCTGTTGAGAGTTATGGACATTTCTTTAAGAATGCACTAAGAAGTTATTGGTAATTCAATGATAAATTTTATTGTCTGACTTTGTTACAAAGTAAGAAACTTCCATACAATTGATGTATTCTGATTTAAATTCACTGGAACATCCAAGGAAGAAAATAGAAGTACATTAATAGAGATTCAATTTAACGTTCACCATTCACGGAATTTTTAACGACATTTGGAACTTGCTATTAAAACACTATTGAAATGTTTTTTTTTCTTTTTTACATTTTATCAGTTACAAAAATAAATATTTATAAAAAATCTGGTGGTTATTTATTTATATATTATGTTGAAGTGACCATTTTTTAATAACCCTACTATATAGGGTGAGTCTCGTAAAAATATTTTAAAGGGTAGTATACAGGGTGGCGTGGTGACAATTTCGATGCTCAACATTGGCATCTCAGAAAGTACAATAGATACGAAATCAGTTGAATAGGACAAAAGTTGCGTAATTAGAAGTTTGACAACACCTATCAAGAAAACCCTGGTATCTTGATTAGTTTCCCATTTTTGAAAAAAAAAAATGAAAATAATGCGTTTATTTTAAATGAGAATACCTTCAGAACTATTGTATATATTGCAACGTAAGTTGGTAGTTTTATATTTTTGACCCCGGCCAATTAAATGACGTTTAGAGAAAATTTCTAAGCCTTCTAGATTTCGCACAACAGTCAAGTTTTTGTGTTCTTATGGCCGCCATTTTGATTTTTTATACTATTAGATAGAGCAAAAAATAATCTATACGGTGGTATCTAATTTTTATTCATTATTATGTAAATTCACAAAAAAAATAGATTTTTTAAAAATTCACTCAAAGGTCAAGTCTGCCTTGGAAATCCAATTGACACTATATGACAGCAAGTTAATTTTGGTTTACTCAGATCTGAACACAAAAAATTATAGTAGATAGTGTAAAGTGTATTAACAGTCAACAATATGTTTACAAGTGAGGAAACACGAGATATGTATGATGTTTACTTAAAAAATAATAGAAATTCCGATATGGCATGCGCACGTTATAGAACATTAGCTTTTTTCGTTTTCCTGTTATTATCGATTCTGAACCGTCCTAGAACTCTGCAGCGCATGCGCAAATGAAATAATGTCTTCATATTTCCTTCTGCGCATACGCATCACAGTTCTAGGACGGTTCAGAATCGGTAATAACAGGAAAACGAAAAAAGCTATTGTATCCTGAAAGGACACAGCCTCATCGTACTATTTTCGCAAGGATTTCAAGAAATTTAGCAGTTGCTGGTAGTTTTAAAAAACGAGAGGGCACTATTTAAAAAAAAGCTTATGATATTAATGTACCAGCCTAGATTGAAATAAATCCGGAAAGTTCTAGTCGTAAAATAAGTCGCAAGTGTGTAAGTGATTCTTATGTAGGGAAAATTATCAAAAAACAAATATCACAATAAGGTGCCGGGTAGTGTAGAGGTACAGGCTCTCGTCTACCAATCTCAAGGTAGTGGGTTCGAATCCCACACCCGGCATTTCATCAGCCGACTATTTTTATTAAAATAAAAATAGTTTGGGTACCTAGGTCAACTAAGCCTTAAATGAGGACTTGGGATTCACAATCCTGAGGTAATAATAGGCGGTTGAAGCGTAGTGCTAACCACATTACCTTCCTTGTATACCGAACGGCTCTATGTATAGCAAACTGTACCTTGCTACTCCCAAGACGTTAAACGCTATATATGAGAGCTATTATTATTATTATAAATATCGCAATAATATGATTTTTTTCTGTTATCTGTATGTTCCAAAATTTGTAAATAAAGATTCAACCGTCCCTAATATTTTTCTAGAAAAAAGGGGGCTCTCTTTAACACCTTCCCGAAACCATTTACAAAATTGTAATCTTCTCTCGTGCACCAGCATGTGTCCACAAACTTGGTACACATTTAAATTAAAAGTTGCGATATTTATGTTTTTTGATAATTTTCCCTACATAAGAATCACTTACAGTACGTCTGTCCGTTCTGTAGCTCCGGGGTATCCGTTTGAGGGGAAACGATATTTTCTCGATGTTTTAAAAAATTAGACGACGCGTCCCATCAATAAAAATTCGACAAATTTGCAAGTAACCAATAAAGTGAGTGGGCGGAGCGATTTGTGGTGACGCACTCGTCAAATCGACGTATAAAATATATTGCTGTTTATTTAAATGTTTTTTGCCCGCATTCCTTTCATAGACACAGATCCAGCAGATGTACTGTACACAATACTTGCGACTTATTTTACGGCTAAAGTTTCCGGATTTATTTCAATCTAAGCTGGTACATTAATATCATAAGCTTTTTTAAAATAGTGCCCTCTTGTTTTTTAAAGCTACAAGCAACTGCTAAATTTCTTGAAATCCTTGCAAAAATAGTACGATGAGGCTGTGTCCTTTCATGACACAATGTTCTATAACTTGCGCATTCATATCGGATCCAGGGCTTTTGTTTTTTTAAAAATGAAAAATAATTTTAAAAAACACATTTTTTGAGTAAAACGTTTACATGAATTTCTCTATCAATAAATTTCATAGACTTGGTTATTAAACCATGTTCCCGTAGATAAAATGCTAAAATACCTACAAATTTTATAAAAAAATAAAAATTAACACATTTTTTGAACCCAACAAAATAATATTAACTAAACAAAACTAGAAAACGTCATTTTTACTGCATCATAAGCAAATAAAAATTAATACGTAGCCAAGAGTCATAATTCACGATTTCTCTGGGGGGTGCCCAGTAGTACCTTGGGGGGGGCACCCCTGTAGTTACGCCAATGTGTATACCGGGTCGTCACTTCTGGCCTTGGGTGCTTTCGTGTGTACAAAGAGTACAGTACGGTCAATGCACTCAGTACAATAAGATGATTGAATAAAGAAAGAAGAGCAAGTATTTTCCCTAGCGCATAAAATCTAGTGTCAGATTAAGTGATTATGTAATAATATACTTCGCATATTTTTTCTCTCTCTGACTAACTATGTAAACACCGACCCAAGACTTCATTAGCCCATAGTTTGAAATAATGTTTAATAGTTCTGGGTGATAACTGGGATAACGTGAAAAAATTAAAAACATGTTTGAATTTGTTTAAAAATATATTTTTTGGAACCATACCCATACAAAAGAGTTAAACAATTATGATTACATTGAAATGTATATTTTAGTGTATATAATTTTAAATGTACAAAAATAGTAATATAGTAGAACGCTATTTAATAAAAAAAAAACAATATAAAAATAACAAAAACGTATAAAATTAGATAAAAAATGCATTTAAATTAAATCAATAATTTATAAAAAAATAAAAACTGTACTGATTATATCAATTTAATTATATTTATACATTTGGTACGCCTTTTGGTATTTTTTAATCTTAAGTAAATTTTTAAAAATGTAAAATGCTTTTATAAAATCATATAGTTAAACTATATCTGTAATTTAAAGCGTGCGCAGATTTAAAGACAGACAAGCTAGTTATTTAAACAAAATAATTATAATTCTTGATAATTTAACAGAGAAAAATCATATTTTTCATTAATATATAATTTTTTAATTTAGAACATATCTTTAAGATTAAAAATTGAAAAAAAAATAACAACAATAATTAACATATAGATTTTTGAATAACAAAGTAAAACAAATTAATCTAAACAATAAAAAATGTAAATCAGGAATGTACGAGATAATTCAGTAATTCTATAAAATTACAGTCACATAAACTAGTTCTAAAGTATTCAACTTTTTGTGGTACTAGAATAAAGGTAAATTTAAATAAATGCGCTTACAACTGGATAATAACATCCAAATAACATTGACAATTAAGATTATGTATTTTTTTTAGAAAAAAAGCTTTAATACCTAAGGCCAGAATTTATTAAACAGATCCATAAAACTGTCGTAAATCATAAAAGTAATGGCTACGTCTAGGCATACTCTGCCTAACCTTGGCACAGTTCCTTTGTAAAACGCCCGTGGACCTTCCTGAGTCCATATTTTTGTCATACAGTCAACTGTACTTTTATATTTATGAGCTTCGAGACCCTGCATCCTTGTTTTAACTACATCTAAAGGAGTGTTTCCAAAAACGGAAGCAGCACCTAAAAAGTTAAGCAATATATGTATATATGTATCAGATATGGTGGGTTCATACAGCCAAATAAAATAAAATAAGAATAAAATAAAATAAAATAAGAAAGTTGGTTATATGGGATACCGTACATGCGTTCATACAGCCAAATAAAATAACAAATAAAATAAGAAGTCTTTATCTTTTAACTTCTTGTTTTATTTTATGTGAAAACGGCTTTGCGCATGCTTGATTCTAACCTACAAATATTTTCAGTTTGGATTTAATTTATTTTATAATTTCACATAAGTAAAATGTATAATATAGTAGGCAACGAATAAATAAATATACTATAAATAGTAAAATTACTATAAACAATCGTAAAAGTTAACTTTTATCCAGCCTCATCGTACTGCGCATGAGCAAATATATATTTCTTATTTTATTTTATTTGACTGTATGAACGCACACAAATAAGAATTCCTTATTTCTTATTTTATTTTATTCTTATTTTATTTTATTTGGCTGTATGAACCCACCAATACTGGCTTTATGCTATATATTCTAACATATATTTATATCGTAGTCTCATAGTGTATTCAGTCTTTTTATGAAGAGCATGGAGGAATAAGAGAGGGGAGATGCTACTACACGTATTTCTGTAGGACAAAAACAGTCTCACTTCGTTGTTTGGGCGGGGCCAAAAGTAGACCCTTTGGACAGGACCTGATTAAGTAAAACTTCAAATAATAAAAACAAACAATTATTAAAATTTGCCTTGAGTTAATGTAAAATCATTGTGTAATATTAATCGTGTGTATCGTAATGAACAAATTACTTGGCATTACTAGACCAAAGTTAAAATAGGCATAAAATACTAATTAATGTTCATTCGTTAATTCGGTCATTACGGACCTGCGCGCTGTTTATGTTATCTCTGAGGGTGCAGCCACACTATCCTAAAAATGGCGTATCGGCGTAACGGCGTAATGACCTTGAATAGATTTCCAGTAATTCTATTGGCTGAAACATTCATCTGTCAGAAATTTTATCTGTCAAATTCATCTGTCAAAAATTTCAGCCAATAGAATTACTGGAAATCGATTCAAGGTCGTTACGCCGTTACGCCAATACGCCGTTTTTAGGATAGTGTGGCTGCACTCTGAAATGTTACGCCGGTGAGTTTCTTCGAGTCGATACCTTTCCTGCTCTTACAACTGCACACAGCACACAACACCATGGTTTTTAAGGGTTTTGTAATAGAAAACACTCAAATTATCGATGAAAAACATTAAATTTTGAGAAAAATGCACAAATTACAAAAAGGACCACAATCTAATATGGCGGGCGGCTAGGTGAACCTCTTTTCGCAACAGCTGTAGCGCCTCCCCTCTCTTATTCCTCCGTGATGAAGATCTTAGGTCATTTCATGAAGCGTCGGTTAGGTTAGGAGTTTAGTTATGTTATTAGGTTATTTTTTTTTACTAAGTGACTAGGATTTTCATGAAAAGACGGAATACACTATAAGACTACGACATTTATATTAGTTAAAAAATGTAAAAAATTAAGAAAGAGCGAGCGGTGATATTTTTTCCAGTGATAGGAAAAACCGATGATTTTGATAATCGAGTACCTACTCGAGTAGTTCGAGTTTCGGGCGAGTAAATAATCGAGCGAAGACTCAAGTTAAATTTCACTTGTATAGAATGTTCAGCCATAGTTCAACGCTTAGATCTTATAAGGTTTACCGACACTTCATGAACTCTTTCAGGGTGCAGCCACACTATCCTAAAAACGGCGTATCGGCGTAACGGCGTAATGACCTTGAATAGATTTCCAGTAATTCTATTGGCTGAAACATTCATCTGTCAGAAAGTTTATCTGTCAAATTCATCTGTCAAAAATTTCAGCCAATAGAATTACTGGAAATCGATTCAAGGTCGTTACGCCGATACGCCGCTTTTAGGATAGTGTAGATGCACCCTCAATCACTTGCCAACCAGATGAAAGAGTTCGGTGACATCATTATGGCATTTCGTAAATTACTGCATATTTCATAGATAAATGAAACAAGTTTAGATTGGAAAGTGCCCATAAGGACAATGTAAACACTATTTGGCGCTGTTCTTGCAACGGTCGAGACCCAAAGCTTTTGAAAATTTCGGAGCGGTTCGGCTTTTTCCGGAATTATATTACCAAATATTATTTATTGAAATTTATTATTTTCTTTTAATTTTATAAATCAAATAGAGTGTGTTTACTTATACGATATTTACGATACAAGAAACTTTATTTTATATAAGGACATGTATGAAATACCTATAAAACATTGGAAACCGACGTTATACCACGATCCACGATGGTTTTTGCAATTCACAGTTCACAGCACAGCTTTTTAAGTTTTTAATGCCACTTTTTCACAATTATCACGGGTTTAAGTAAATAAAACTTAAATTAAACTCACAAGATAGCAATAATGGACGCTTTAAACACTTTTCGGAATTTTTTCAATGAAAGCGGTTTAGATTTTGAAAGATTTATAATTTTTGAAGATTCTGACTTTGACAAGAGATATGGACAAGAGAAAATTATTTCTGTTTTTGTTTGCGGTTGTTCTTAGCAACCGCTATAGCAGCGCCAGATTGCGTACAACGGTCGCGACCCAAAATTTTGACGGGCATTCCAATCTAAATTTATTTCCTTTATCTATGTACATATTCTTTTTAGTCAATTTCTCATTGTCATTTGATTTGGGGTCATAATTGTCATTCTCATTCGATTTGGGGTTATAATTTTAATGACGGACATCGATCAATGTTACAATTAAAGTTTGGTTGTTGCTGTAAAACAAAATTCAAAATTTTTTATTACAAAAATGCTTCAAAGATTTACCCAAAATGAACAAAACCTCATTGCTAAGCTTATAAATTATTTTTCTCGAGAAAGAAACGGAACTCGCTCAATCAATAATATAGGAATGTACTTAAAATTTTCTAAACAATATGAACTGATCTCAGACACACCCTAACACTCATATTTGACAAATAATGATGACGTACCGGCGACGATGGCTAAATAGTCTTATAAAATTAAAGATACGGTTTTCTGCCGTTACTTGTAAGAAAGGCGAACAAACGACGAATACGCGCGATACGACCGACGCGACGTTATCAAAAAACGTTTTCTTATGAACAATGAATAATTTCTTATGAAACTTATGAATTAGGTCTCTTATCTTGCTTATGAAAGTGCACTGCCGACGCAGGAGGATTTCATAAGAAAACGTTTTTTTATAAATACGCTTAGGGCGTATCGCTTATATATAACTCAAGAAAGGGGGACACAACAGATCTGTAAGGTCGCAGTGATTAACCCCTCTCCCACTCATTCTAAATTCTAGGGCGTATCGCGCGCATTCGTCGCCCACATAAGACGGTGTGTTTAGTTTAGTTTAAAGCAATGTCGATGTAGGTCGTAGAATTTTCTCACTCGAAGAACGTTGTATAGTCCTATAGTTAATTATGCGGCCTGTAAATATAACTCTCTGTAAAACAGACGTTCCATGACAGACTATTAAATAGCATGATACAAAGAAAACAGGCATGATATTGCGCAAGTTGTAACTACGTCACAGGTGGTAAACGGCACCATTGGTCGGCATCAAAGGTCGGCAAGCTCCGCGCGCCAATTTCAAATTGTCAAACAGATGACACATAATAAATGTGTCATAACTTTTCAAATGTCAAGCTCGATGATTTGACACATTTGACATAACTTTTGGGGTTATGTCCTAATTCTTCCCTATTTTAGGTCTTTTTTGATTAGTGGCAATTGAACAATATGGAAATTTATTTGTATGGCATATGACGTCACAGGTGATATGCGCAAACTGAACGAAATTGGAGCCGCTATCGATGATACCTTGTTTTCTTTGTACCATGATTAAATAGTATGTCACAAATAAACTCTGGAGACCCATTGATATGCAAAATACAATTTGCATAAATTTAAAGAACTTGACTTGTCAATCTTTTCAAGCATTTCTAAACAACGAAATTAAACCCAAGATAATTTTTTTCTTACTCATACGGTACAGCGTGATATATAATATATTCTTACCGGCTACGGCACCGAAAATTCCTACCATATATTTAGGAACTTGTTTATTCTTATCCCCACCTTTATACGTATCTTTAAGAGTTTCCATAACAAAAAATCTGATCGCTTGATTTGACCCCTGTTTCAGTATTGTGGCTGTTAATCCTTTATATATTCCTCCAACACCTAAAAGGATTTGTATTAAAAAGTGTGACAGTGTACAGTGTGTCCCATTTTAGTGTGTTTTACAGGGTATCTCGTTTACACACAGATGCGATTTTCGCATCACTGGACTACTTTTATATAGAACTAAAGATGCTACACACATATTTGCCCTAGCCTTCAGTTTATGAAATACAGGGCCAATTTTAAATTATCGAATTTTTCGACTCCCCTCGTACGTCGGTTATCTTATCTTATATCTTATCACTTACCGAAAAGGTGAAAACTGAGTCACGTAGAATTGAGTGGCGTAAGTAGATTTTCGCTGCGAGCTATCATTTTTTGAATATGACCCAAACTTGTTTCATTTGCCTGGCCATAAGCTTTCTAAAAATATAATATATAAAGGGTTACCATTTCGATAAGCTACAAGATAACCAAGATACGAAGTGTGCCGAAAAATGCATCTGAATAACATTTTTAAATTTGCTCTTGTATTTCAGGAACTAAAAAGGCTATGACAAATCTGCGTGTGGCATCTTTAGATTCATAAAAAGTAGCTCAGTGATGTGAAAACCGCATCTTTTTATCTCTACTCATAAACGAAAAACACCATAAAACACGAAAATGGGACATTCTGTACGTAAAAGCATAAGTGTGAATTGAAAATGGTCCAGGGTAATGGAAAGTTATGAAATACTGTAACCTAATACTAGAGATTAACACATATTTATCAGTAACACGGAGAATCTAAATTAAACAAGGATGCCATTCGGTCCCTTTATATATCCTATTTAAAGGGACCGAATACAAAGCGCATGCGTATGATGAATCGCTACAAAAAAGTCTGACAACGCTATGGGCTATGGCCCTATTAAAGATCCGAGGTCATGGCGGCGTTTATCACCAAAATGAAATAAGTGCCACATCTGTAAGTTAATCTGTGCTAATACTGTAAAAATATACCATTCACAACAGACATAGGATAACATGGAAAAAGAGCTAATATCCCATTTATCAGTTTTATGTTGGCAGCATTTCTGAAATTTGATTCATAATTAATTGAGCAATCTACAGTATGTCCCCTGATTATCTTTACAAGAGGTAAAACTTTTTATTATTGTAATTTGTGACAAAAATGTATTCTCCATAAAAACTTTTGCTTGTTCTAAAATGGTTAATCCCATTCATACTTTTTCAAATTTGCATACCGTTTTAGAGAAAATTAAGAAAAACATGAAAATGTAGTTGATTTTTTTCTAAGTCCTAAAAATCAAAACGCGTTTCTATGGTAATATAATTTCTTTTTCATTCTTTGATAGATTATTATTGGCAGAATTTTAGTTAACGTTATATATTTTGCTGTTTTAAAATGTTAAAGAAGCACAAAATGTATTTAGTTCAATGCTACGGAAAGGATGATAATAGTTATCGGAAAATGGGATACTATGGTGATACTTTAACCACTTTAACAACATCAAAAAATATTGACGTTAATCAAAATTAATTGTAACTAGCGATGGGAACTATCGAATGAATTAGACTATCGAATGGTTACTGAATGAATGATTTCAACTATCGAATGGTTTTATTCGAATAAAATCATTCATTCATTTGTATACTAAAGCATGTGACAACCTCGCCGTGCGACTAAATGGTTATCGTTGCGCCACGACTATCGAATGCTTTTGATAAATGAAATTTAGTATTCGTTTGATTTTTGTGTGCGTTAGTGCATTATTAGTTCTTCCAAATTTTTATAACTTCGCCTCGTAAATACTGTGCTATTTTTGCGTTTATTAAAATATTTAAAATACTAAAATAGTAGTTTTTTTTAATTGACGATTGTGTGCGAAGTGGTCAAAATTTTTCCGAAAATTTGTGTGATTTTCCGTAGCCCGATCTTCCAATTATTTAATTTTATATGGTATATTATGGTTAGGTCAGATTGCATTTTTTTAATGGGAAATTTTGAGAAGTAGCAATTTTTAAGAGAGATGAGATGAACTTACAATTAATTTTAAAAATACATATTTGTATTTTAGATGTTTTAATAATATGAATTAGTTGAACTTAATAATCATATTTAAGTAATGTGCTTAAGTAAATGGTTATATAACTCAAATTTTGGGGTGAGAAAATTAAATTGAAAGTTTTACACGTGCCAATTTGAAAAAAGAGTTAACAATGTTTGTATTTTGTTTATGCTAATTCTCTTACATGTAGTTTTTTGCGAAAAAATATTTCATTTATTTTTTAAGTAAATGCCAGTAAAAGTAAATATTATTTTTAAATAGTAATATAAAGTAATAAAAAGTAATATAAATAATTTTGATTTCTAATTTTTTATTTATATTTTCCTTCCATTACACTGCATGCTTAGAAAATTAATAAATGTTTATATTTCATGATTTTAAAATTTGTTGTTAATATAACAAATTAGTTCTGTAATTATTATTATTTAATAAACCAACGTTGCCATTTAAAGACTATATTATTTTTAAATAGGATCTAATATAAATACTTTTGACTTCTATTTGTTGTTTATACGATCGTATTTTGCTACTACTTAAAAAAATATTTATATTATTAAATCATTTTAAATTTTGTTGTTAATAGGTATAACAAATTATTACTGTTATTATTATATATTAAACTAGTCTTTGCTTAAAAACATTAAAAATCATTTTCCTACATCCAAAATAAAAAGTATCATTGCAGTGTAACAACAGAATATTAATAAAAAAATGCAAAACATATAGACATACTATCCCTAACTAACTAATGCTAAAGAATAATATTCTTTGCTAATACCAACTAATACGAATATATGGCAGCAGCGGCTTTCATAATGTATTTTTTGTGTAAATACTAGCACCTCAATAAAAAAATAATGTTATCTTTATTTGACTTCGCAAAAAATCAAAGATGCCGGCTTCTTTCATAGCATTGCCACCGACCGCTGTCGGGTTTCTAGGAAAGAAATCTACGTCGCCGGACGACAACTAAAATCCAGTTTATATTTTATTAAAATCGATCCTGACGAATAAATGAATTTGATAAATGAATGAATTTTATAAATGAATGGTTTTTGCTGCCGAATTACTAGAATACAATATTTCAAGGCAGATGACGCATCTATTCGATAATTTTTATTCGAATAACTTTCGACGAATGTTTTCTTACTAGCTATCGAATTATTCGAATGAATTGCAACTATCGAATGTTTCGATAGTATTCATTCGATAGTTCCCACTACTAATTGTAACCACAAAACATCCCCCTTTAGAACTTTTTCTTTAATGGCCATAAGCGGGAGTAAAATACCAACCGCCCGAACAAATACTAGAGGCGCCACCGGTCATTAAATGGTGTAAAAATTGGGAAAATTTAATCATCTAATTTTGACACAAGGGGTCGCGCTTAGCTTTTTCAATTTTAATTCAATATTTATTATTTTCAAACTAGATTATTAGACTTTGTTGTATTTTGTGAATGTATAAATGTTTTCTTAGTATAAAGTTGCATTATAGTAATTTAAATTATATTACATACATATTTAATTATGACATATATGTCAGTTGCCGTCTAAAATGTCATCTTGATAACAAAAAGTTAGTTATTGTCAAAAGTAGTTAAAATCATGTTAAAATATTAAAATTTACAAGTTATAATTAGATATTTTATATTATTTCAACAACAAACACATAAAAGTACAGCGTAATGTTGATATGCAGGTCCAAAACAAAAAGTGCCGTTATATTTTTCAGTTTTCGTTGTCAGCCGCGGAAGTTTCAGTGATTTTAGTGTTGTCGGATATTTTTATTTGTGAAATAAAAATATTGCCTTTGGATTGCAAAATTAAAAGTGGAAGTTTTATTGCAATGTAAGTAAGCGTTTGTCCATTTTATATTTTACTTTTTTCATACCTACGACAAATATACATATATTGAAATTTTATAAATCGTTTTATTTAAAAAATGTTAGAAAACAAGCTTGTAATCCTGTAATTGACATAATTGTTATGTAATATATTCCATTTAAATGTAATATATTACTTTTCAATTAAAAAAAATTAAATTTAAAAAATATATTAAAAATATATACAGGCATTAATTAAATTTTTTTGAGTGCGAACAAATACGAGAGGCGCTTTATTATTTACTTTCATTTCTTAACATGACAGACGAAGTTCTAAAGGGGTATGTTTTGTGATTGTAACCATCTAACAAAGAGTGAAATCAAAATTACATTACCATAGAATCGCCTTTTAACTTCTAGGACCAAAAGGTTCAAATACATTTTCATGTTTTTTTTTAATTTTCTCTAAAACGATATGGAAATTTGGAAAAGTATAAACGGGATTAACAATTTTAGAACAAGCAAAAATTTTTATGAAGAATGTATTTCTCTCAAAATATCAACGATAAAAAAGTTTTTCCTTTTGTAAAGACAATCCGGAGACATACTGTATGTAATACACAGTAGTCCATTTCTGATATCTTTTAAACACATGCTTAATTTGTTTGATCAAAAGTCTAGTGACCTTGCTCCAACATCAATTATCAGTAACAAGTAGAAAAAAAAAACTAAAATTAAATAAGACTATTCGATTTACTGGTCAGGACAGTAAATTAATATTATGTTCTAATTCAAAATATGTGGTACAATCTCGTTGAGTAATACCTTGTTCCTTTATAATGACTCCAACACCGTGGAAAAAACCTCTAAAACGAGGGCTACCGCTCCTTTGGTCATTTATAAATTTCACTTTAATTGTCTCCATTGGAGTTACAGCTAAAATAGCTTCACAAACGCCAGCCCCTAAACCGCATAGTAACCTTCCACCAGGCGAAAGTGTACCGTCAGGCCTCTGCATTAAACCTTTGAACGTCTCAAATGCACCAAACCTATAAAAATATACCATATTTTTCAATGTAGAGATGACAGAATGTATCAAACTCTCTGCAATTTTATACAGAGCGTGTAAATGAATATGTGCAATGAATATTACCTTACGGCGCTCTTAGGTATTGAACCATAAAGTAATACACTAAGACCTCTATACAGACCAAAAAATCCATGAGTTTTAACAGTTTTCTTTACACAATCTACTATTCCAGCATATTTTTTTCTATCCCCTTTTTCGTCTAATTGAAGCTGTGTTTTAACATATTCTGTAGGAAACGTTATGCATATTTCAATGCCCCCTGTAATGCCTCCTGTAAAATAAAAATCGATGCATTATAAACTTATAAAAACCATATTTTTGTATTTCTATGAAAATATTTCTTTAAGAAATACCATGTTGTCATGGTTGGTAAAAGTTACGCAGAAAGACTGTCTATCAATCAGTGATGGACGATGGATAAATTGAATTCCTGTAAATACCCAACGGATAGATAAATAAAATCTGGGTATATGCCTGGTATACCGATCAGGTTATCGAAACTAGTTTATTATTATATGTATATAAAAAATAGTTAATTTTTTTCTACAGACATATTCCTACAAACGTAAAAACCGGCAACACTGTATGCCGCGCTTTATTTTGTCTCTCTGTCTGTCAACCAGTCATTTATATTTATCTCTATCAATGCATTAAAATACATACCACGCAGATGAAGTGACAAGGGCTAGTATAACCAGAAGGCGTAGAATATACACCCATTGATTGGAGATATTATACTGGTATATTCCTGGGATTTATACCGGGTATTTACTATGGCGGTCGTCGGTGAACCCTCTTATAAAATTAGGGTATTTATCTAAATTAGTTAGCGTTATGCTAGCGTGTTTTTGATAGACTTTATTGGCTATTATGCACTCGTCTGTACATTCTTTGACCAACTGGCGGTTTTCTAACCAATTATTCTTAGATGTTTTTTTAATGTTGAATTTATCAACAGATTGTTGTTAAAATTTAGAGTACCTTAAATTATTAACAACTTGGGTATATACCGGGTATAATGATATTTACACAAATTCAATATACCCTATATCAGTGATGGCAAACCTTTTGAGCTCGGTGTGTTAAAATTTTGAAAAATCGAAACATAACTTTCGTGGCGTCTCACACAGCACAAAAGTAAATACTATAAAAAAAGACTATTACCAACCAACTCTGGCTATTATGAGAGACAAATATTTGAATTTTGAAATTTTTATCTTTCAAGATGCGTGTCACCAAAAATGAGCTCGCGTGTCATAGGAACGCCAACAGTACCCTATTTTTACACATTGTGAGACCTTGGGTATTTACCCAAATTTCAATATATTGGGTGTTTGCTAATCACCGATATCAAACCAACTAAACCCGTAGAGTTACATTTTATTGATACTCACCAGCAATAATTCCTTTAAGACCCTTGTTACCACCTCCTGCTGGTGCAGCCGCACAATTTTGATAAAGCCATGGTCTTCGGAAGGGATATACGAATGGCGGTGGCTGGGTAGACATACTTTAAAGACTACAAACTGAAATAAAAACAGAAAGTTATATTTAAAGGATGCTTAATTAATAAATATACTGGGTGAGTCTTAAATAAGTGCAAATATTTTTGGGGTAGTATATTATTTCAACCCCAGAAACACGTCTATTACGTTATAAACGTAAGAAATTAAAAATTTTCAATTTCCTAAAAAAAATTTGGAATTTTTTTAGTTAAAAAATATAATTTCTTGATAATATGGCAACATAACTCGGTTATTTTGGACTTTTTTGAAAAACGGTAAAGAGAAAACATATTTTTCTTCAATAGGCGAAATTCTATGTTTATTTTTTAAATAGAGCATAATTCTGTATAAAAATGTTGCTTATTTCTAATTATGGACACTAGTCTAGTAGAATACTAATTCTCTTGAAAAAAGTTTGAAAAATCTATATAAAATTAAAGAGATGAGAGGAAGACGCAAATGACGTTTTAATACCTTGTAAAAATCTAAATTTAAATTTATTTTTGAATATATTATAGTACAACAAAAAAAATCGTTTTATAAAATTAGTTTTCCTATCAGTCATCGTTGTACCGAAAAATTATCATTTGACAAGGTCAAGGGATTATTTATTATTATCATAACTAACATAGCTTTTTGTTTTGAATACACATTAGTTATTTCCATTTTTTTCTGAAAATAGATTTTGTAATGATTTTGATTAATACGATAATAAAACGAAATATTTTTGAGGATCACACGATTACAACATCAAATTGTCTTAAATAAGTGCAAATATTTTCAGGGCTGGTAGATCTCGATAAAAGAAACATATTGTCTCTTTATCATTTTTCAAATAGGTTCAAAATAACCGAGTTATTTAAGTTGGAAAATTAAAAAAAAATTGATTTTTTTTGGAAAAATTTTGAGAGCCACCGGATTTTTTCTGTATTTCCATCCCTTTTAGTGCCGTAACCATAGAGTAAAGCTGTAACTATGGTAATATCCTTTGAATAAGAAGACTAAGGAATGATATCCATGTATTCATGCATGGTGGGCGGAAAAAGCACTCTAGGGTGGGGATTCTTGACAGTTCTGTTTGACGATTCATTTGAAACATTTGAATTTGATTTGAAATTTTGTGGATTTGTCAGTCTTTACGGAGCTTATTTTATGTTATTTATTATTTATTCTACTACTGATAGTTGTATAAAGGTAGTAAATCTAGATGGAAATTGTGGCAGAACTTATATTAACAGTGACACTATCGCGATTTATCGAAAAAGACTCTAAAATAGTTGGTTGTGTAGCGTGCGGTAGATCTCAGCAAAAATCGAGTGAAATAATGGAACAACTTTTCGCTAGTAAGTGACTATATAATATACATACGTGTAGTAAACCGATCATTTATGAAATTCACTTAAATTAACTAATTATATATTTTTTATTGCATTTATGCTTTTATTTACTACTTGTCAAAAATTAGATGTCAAAGAATTTAGATACGTCAATTTGACTTACCTGCTTCAGTAGCGTATCGGATGTTTATGGTTATAAATAATTATTAGCTTTTTTCGTTTTCCTGTTATTACCGATTCTGAATCGTCCTAGAACTCTGCAGCGCATGCGCAAATTTACTTCTGCGCATCAATTTACTTCTGCGCATACGCATCACAATTCTAGGACGGTTCAGAATCGGTAATAACAGGAAAACGAAAAAAGCTATTATAACTTATCTATTTTTATTTGAATTTAATATTTTTATAACAATTTTAATAACTACCAACATTTATTCACAACGTAAAATAAAAAAATAAAAAATTGGGTCTACCCCACGTCTACCCTATATCATAGTTTTACATTTTTTAAATAAAATTAGAACGGCACGGATAAACCGGAATTTAAGTCGGCCATATTTGAGGCCCATCGCGGTGGACCTAAGATTTTTGATATGCTCCTTCCTTAGTCTTCTTATTCAAAGGTAATATCAGAGATTAAGAAATTATACCGTAGTAAAATTGGCGGTGAACAGGCAGTTCTAAAAAGTTTTCGAAAAATATACACGGAAATTTAAAAGAAAATGCACGATTTTCAATATCTTTTTTTTGCGAAAAAAACCCTTATAGATGTGTTCCTGGGGTCGAAATATACCACCCCTGAAAATATTTGCACTTTTTTAAGACTCACCCTGTATATTTTTTTGAATATTCAATTTTGTATAAAAATTTTACAAAACACTATTTAATAAGATATATTAAAAGTTATATTAATAAAAATATTTAATACTTTTCTTAAATGCAGGTAATAAATTTTATTAAATTATTATTATTAGATATTGACATCTTCCTGATAGTATTTTCAGTATATTTTTATTCAGTATCTTTTAAAATTTTTACACTGTATACATATATTTTAAAAAAATACATGTGTGTTGAATTGAATACTGTAATCGAAAAACTATCTAAAAAACTGTATTTGCAGCTATTGTTTTACCAGCCGCTTTATTTATTCTTCCCGATAAAAGCCAACGTGATAGAATAGTAAATATTTGTATAATTTTTTTATTTGATAATCCAATTTTTATCGATAATTTGCATTTTATGTAATACATGTATAGAATGTTCAGTCATCGTTCAACGTCACACAGGGGTGGATGGGGAAGTGGAAACCGGCCCTGGAAAAACAGGCAACCGGCCCAAATCCACAAAAAACAAAACGACCATAACGAAGAAACATACAGTGTTGCCGCAGTGGTACATTTGTACCAAATTTGATACTTTTAATTCTATTTGGTACAGTGGTACTACATTTTCAAATCAAGGATGTTTTGGTACAATAATTATTTCCCACGCGCACCGAAAATGAATAGATATTTAATAATTATTGTCGTTGATATTGCATTAAACGCGCTTACCGATACCATTCGGAGACAATCCGCATTAATTAACGACGTATGTTGTAATGTCTATAGGGTTGCCTATATTAAATAACCCAAAAAAACTTTTTTTTGGGAAATTTGCTGTTTCTGATATGTTTCTATATTTGCGTTTTTTTAAATAAAATTTAAGTTTTCCAAGTATCGTGTGTAGTATTAGAATTAAATTTCATCAACCTATACTTAAAATTGGGTTTTCTGAATTTCTATTTCATGTTTTTCGTCTCGATTTGTGTCTTTCTCCATGAAGTTTTTTTTATGAAGAAATTCACAACGACCAAACCGCTTAAAGTCATTTGCAGATGAATTTTGTTGTGCTTTAAAAAATTGTACCAAAGTGGTACATTTTTAGTTTAGAATGTGGTACGCGCTAAAAGTAGGGTGCGGCAACACTGGAAACATATTTTATTTATTAATATATGGAAGGGTGTTTTTCGCTCATGCGAAAAAGCTCTTTAGTTAGCGTCGGGTTTAAAAAGAATAAATTGTTTCGATCAAAATTTTCGTAAAGACCAATATTGGGTCGGACATCTGAATTGTTACTACAAAATGGTTCAGTTTTACAGGATTCTACTGCTTTATTTCCATTATCGATAACGGTAATTTGATCTTGAATAGGCTACGATTTTGAGTCACGATTTTGAGAAACTTTAAGACTTCCTTATTTATTCAGTTCAGCTGACCCAATCCTCTGTGAAATACATTACTTTTAGCTTTTCGGGTATATACTTTCTTACACATTGTAGAAATAAATTCTCTCTTTTCTGCTACAGCAGCAGCCTCCTCTGTACACGTGTTTTTAACTGAATGAACCGCGGTCGCCATTAAAACTGCAGCATTTTTTAGGTTATTATATAGTTCTTATCACGAAACTATTCCTCTATACTTTTCTACATTTGGCATCTTGTATGATAATGCCATGACTCAAACGAAAAAACCTAGGCAATACCTATAGGCAGTGGATATAAATGTGTTCTGATGTAATGCTCTGTTAGTCCCTAATAAGAATATTTGGATTTTCGAGACATATTAATATTTTATTATCTAATCTAGTTTAAACCTTATTTATCTTTTCTCTGCTGTCTCAGTAATTTCAGCAATTTTAGCAAATTCATTTTGGCCACATTTTAAACAACAATTTAGACTTAGCTTTTAGTTCTCAGACTTGGCTTTTAGTCCGTCCCCAATTCAAGCCAAGCGTAGATAATATGTTTTCTCCGTCAACCGCAGAGTTCGCGTCAAATTCGTCTACCTTTTTACAAAGGGGAGTTTGAAAAATATTGCACCGAGGCCCCCAGTTGTCAATCTACGCTATCGTATTCTTAGTATACATTTAGATCGAGACTATTTAAATTTACCTAATGATATTCATCCTTTTTTTTTTGCTGCCGTCAGTCATATTTATTAGTTATTACTAAATGAATAGTGGGTAAAACTATACAGGGTGAGTCTTAAATAAGCACATTATCCCACGGTATAGTTTCTTAATGTCTGATATTACGGTACTAAAAGAGCAAATACCGAAAAATTGAGGTGGCTCAAATTTTTTTAAAAATAAATCTTTTATTTAATTTCCAAACTTTAATAACTCGATTGGACTTATTTGAAACTCGATAAAGAGAATATATTATGTTTATTTTATTGAGATCTACCAGCCCTGAAAATATTTGCACTTATAGACTCACCTTGTATAATAAAAATTTTTCAAAAATAAAAATTAGTAAATAAAATTTGCAAATCGAACAGATGATTATTAAAATTATAAGTGTCTCAGAGAAAGACATTTTACAATAGTTATTTTACAAATTGGTGTTTATGTTTAGAAGTAACTGACGATTATACTGATGCAAATTGATTAGTTAGTTATGGAGTCACTAAGGATCTTACGTCACTTTAGTTAGTTTTTTTTGAGCTCTGATCGGGACCGGCCCACCGGCCCATCTTTCCACCGGCCTACCGGGAATTTTCCCGTTTTCCCATATGGCCCATCCACCCCTGACGTCACATCATATATTGTCTTAGTTTATTCTTAATCTAAGGTCTTAGTATATTGTCGAACTCTCTCTATATCTTGGCAACCAGATGAAAAGGATTGGTGACGTCATTA